ATGTCTTGCGAGCATGGTTTTAATTAAATTTGTTTATTTTGGATCTTGACCAGTTCCAACTCGATGCTAGTTGAGCTGTGGTCTGGAGACGATGTGAAGCACGCTTCAGGCTCCAACCAGCGATGCCCACCGCCAAACGGATGCAAACGATTGGTCCTCCAAGGAATCCACGGCACCAGATTTCAATAGGTTGCACATATATAAAGTACAGGATGCAAGCTATTGAGTTATAAGTGATTTTATTTATTGATGGTTGTTTGTGTTGTACTGCATCAAGGATCATAAAGTTGTTAAGTCAAATTAATCGACACAAAATATGTTATTAATAATACTTGCCTTGAAAAACATTTACTGCCTAAATAGACAATATATATATATATATATATATATATATATAAACTTTTCGCCTGGATAAAACACGATTTCAAAACCCATGCCAAATTCACTATAATTGAGAGAATAGAAAAGTGCCGAGCAGATAACATTAGAATGATTTTAGAGTTCCATGAAAATAAGTGGATACAACTTCTAAAAACAAATTATCCAGCCGGGTTAAACTATAAATTTAACAATATAGATAGTACTAATATATAACTCAACAAATCAAAACCTACCCACATTTCTCACCCACACAAGACAGACATGCCTACGGAGGTGTGGAGGCCTCACTTATACACACACCCACACAAATATACACACTTACACGGATCATACTCACTCACACCCTAATGAGCCAAATGATAACACACACCCACAGCAATACACACGCTTACACATATCATACTCACTCACTCCCTAAGAACCAAATAACACACACACAAACACTTAACAGAGACACATCCCCACTCCAGGACCAATAAAACTGTCAAACTGACCAGGGGAATTCAGAGAAGCATATATCCATCCAGCTTTTATCTCAAATAACAACTTAAAAGAGACTGTTTAACCAACACAAGGAATGTTAAAAAATTCATGTTAAAAAGATAAAAAAAAATAAAAAAACAAATGAAAACTACAGACAAAAATGCATTTTCTCCATCAAGACATTCATTTCTGTAGTTTACTGCTACCAGCAAGCAGAAATATTTCTCCTCCCGATGATGGCCATTTTGGTCGAAACTAGTCGAAGAATCTAAATGAAATAATAATAAAAAAAAAAAAAACGAAAGAATATTAATCTACAACCCAGTGTGTCTGAAGATTTTAATTTTTAATATTTTTTTTGTTCAATTGTATATATATATATATATATATATATATATATATATATATATATATATATATATATGAAAATTTCTCAGAGTTAACCTGTAGAAAAAGACAATATTTATAAATTTAAAAGACAATAGGAAAACTGTAACAGCTCCCAACGCGTTTTTCCCAACGTGGACGTTTTCAAGGCAAAAATGAAATGAATTTATTCAACCGAGTAACAAATAATAACAAAACAAAATGTCCTTAGCAACTGGAAGAATTTAGAGAACGCTATTTTCATATTGTTAACTGAAAATTACATCAAGTACCGTCACATATGGAGATATTGCTTTTATTGCTGTGTTTCCGGATTCAACCATTTTCTTTTGATTTCTTGATACTGTTGTGTACGTTTGTTTGGGAGAGTAGTAATTCTGTTAAGAAAAGTGAAATACACTCAGGCTTTTTCCCTATTTCATCTTTCTTAACAGAATTACTACTCTCTTAAGCAAACGTACACAACAATATCTGGAAATCAAACGAGAATGGTTGAATCCGCCAACACAACATAAAAACAATATGATCCGATGTTATTTACGCTTAAATCCATTTCCACACACGCAAACATCACATGACAAATACACACAAGTTCTACCTGAGCAATGAAATATAATTAATGCAGAACTCAAAGTATCTGAATTTTCTCTTCCATAAAGGATTTTCAAAATTTTCTGGTGATGATTAAATAAAAGCGAAATATTTTAAGTTTATAAACTTTCTTATTTGTTCCACATTCCATTTAGTCCATATTTGATTCAAATTCATGGATATATACTGAAACTGTGAACATTTTCCGTCTATTAAATTTAACCATCGACTTCTCTAAACTGCGCGTAATCAAAATTGGCTTATACAAATGCAAAAAATTTTCCAAAATCTAGGCTGCATCCATGTTTTTGACAGATATGAGTTATTTTCAAGGGATTGTATAAGTGATGAAAGGTGAAAAATGTCAAAAGTATTTTAAGTGGGCCATCATGTAGGGTACATTGTAATTTTTGTGTGGTATTTGTTTTTATCAAAAGTATAATTAAATCTATTCGTTTTTTTCAGCTTTATATATATATATATATATATATATATATATATATATATATATATATATATATATATGTTCCATCAAGTTCACAATAGCTAATTTTTGAAATAGTTGAACACCGACCTGGTAGGTAGTAAGTGAATTTATCAATATCGAGGAAAGTTTCTGCTTGATTCCAAATATATCATCATAAATATGTGACATCAAACTTAGCTTGGTGAAGAAATCCTAAAAGTGCAATGAGATTTGTCAAAAAGAATGAAAAGAAAAATGAATTGAGCTGGCCATTTAATTATGGGGCGTAACGTAGCGAGAATGTATTGTTCAGTCAGAGAAAAAAATGATTTGTCGACCATTTAAAAATAGTACTCTGTAATGCAGGTGCGATTCTGTACAGAGCGCCAATTACGAAGTTTGGCGTGCGAAAGGAATACCTTAATGGGACCATATGGCATATTCTTCCATTATGCGTAACCACCTATCTCGTCAACGCATATAAGAATATATATATATATATATATATATATTATATTATTTTCTTTTTAACATTGTCTATACATATTTATTTATGCAAGTCATTCTCTCTCTCACACACACACACACACACTTTCTCTCTCTCTCTCACACAAATACATATATATTGCGTATTTGGGCAGTAATCCCTCTTTTACGCAAGTTTTGTTGAAAACGACTGGCAAGATGTGGTGGTTGAGTCTTTTTTTATATATTGGCATTGTTTTTCAGTTCTTTTGTGGTGGATTTGAGTTTTGTCGGAATATTATTGTGACTATTGCGCGGACTACGATATTTTAGTTTTGCTTTCAGAATTTTAAATAAAAAAAATGTTTTACACCCGAAACCGAATATAATGAAACAAAATACCATATCAACATTCGTAAAAACTTTGCATCTTATAGCAAGGATATATTCTACCCGCAAACAACAGTGATAAATATATAAACCTTTCCAGTCATAAACTAACAAATGACCAAAAGGAATTCTTAAATCTAGGGCCAAATCCCCATATATAGCCTAAATTTGTCCTCCTTACAAAGAAGACTGACATCGAAATCTTACTTTATCCCAAATGGAAAATGACAAGTTAATAAAACACAATCCAAACCAATCTCAATGCAGCAAGACTAAAATATCGTTTATATATATATATATATATATATATATATATATATATATATATATATATATATATATATATATTGAGTTTAGCAGTAAGTACTGTCAAGCATCCGTTCAGTATAATGTTCTGGGGGTGCTTTTCTTTTCATGGAACTGGTTTCTTAAAACCTACTGAAAAGACCCTCAGGAGCGAGCAGTACAAGAGAATTTTAGAGTCTTGTCTGCTCCCTTCTGCTGAAAGGGTGCAAATCGCCCCCACCAAGCTCATTTTTATGCAGGATAATGCTCCCTGTCACAAATCAAAATTGATGAAGGAATAGTTTGATGAGAAGCAGGTGAGTGTTATGACATGGCCGCCCCAATCTGACCTCAACCCCATAGAAAACTTATGGAGCATTATAAAGTACAGTCTCTCGAGAAAGCAGTTGAGCAACAAAGAGGATTTGATTGTGAATTTCATATCCGAATGGAATTCAATGCTTGGAGTTGAGATTTGCCAGAACCTTATCAAGTCAATGCCAAAAAGGGTTGAAAAGGTTATTCAAAATAAAGGAGGACCCATAGATTATTAAATATTTCGAACTATATTACCTATTATAAATAAATTATACCTCTATTATTCTTTATTTAAAGGTGTTCGGTTATGTTTCTATTGATTACTAGTTGCAGGAAATAAGTGAGTCACTTTATTTGCACAGATTTTTTCACTAAATCTCATTTATATTCAAAATTATAATTATCAATAGAATACCTTAGGGTGAGTAAATTTTTAACTATGTGGCCAGGAAGCGGTCTTTATATTAGTAAGATTAAAAATTAGTTTGACCCCCAAAACAATAGGCGAAACAAATTTTAAGTAAAAAAAATTCAGGTGAGTCCTTTTATCGAAAAAGCACTGTATATATATATATATATATATATATATATATATATATATATATATATATATATATATATATATATATATATATATATATATATATGCATATATATACACACATATATATATATATACACAAACATATACACACATATATATATATATATAAACACACACACACACCCATATATAAACACACTCACTACACACACACACACACATATATATATATATATATATATATATATATATATATATATATATATAAAATTTAATGTCTATTGCTAGTGAATTGGTCAATATGTTCACTTATTAAGTAGAAAACTTACCTATTAGATCAAACAAATTTTTGACCAATCCAATAAAGATGATAAAATAATCTGATATTAGCCATAACAGTAATTAACAGAATGTTAATTAGTTACTGGGATGAAAATTAATAAATTTTAAAGGTTATCAAAAGCATTTGTTGATAATTTAATCGATGTAAAATGTTTAGATAAAATCGCTCTCTAAAGTGATTTAGAAATAAGCACACTGCAATTATTCTAAAACGCTAAAATTCGCTCAGTTATAAACGATGATTTGCGGGATAGGAAGATAGTATTACTGCACTTAAATTCATAAATATATAGCTTGATAGAACACAGATGCAAACAATACATATAAATAGATATATTGAAAGATAGATTAATTAATGAAAGTAAAAGATAGATAGATAGATAGATAGATAGATAGATAGATAGATAGATAGATAGATAGATAGAAACAGATGGTCATAGATAAATAGACAGGAACGGACTGAGATAGATACCAACAGAGTGAGATAGATAGATATGAACAGATGGACATAGATACATAGAAAGATACGGACAGACTGAGATATATAGATAAATAGATAGATAGATAGATATGAACAGATGGACATAGATAGATAGATAGATAGATAGATAGATAGATAGATAGATAGGAACAGACTGGGATAGATAGATACGAAAAGAGTGAGATAAATACGAACAGACTGAGATAGATAGATAGATAGATAGATAGATAGATAGATATGAACAGTTGGACATAGATAGATAGATAGATAGATAGATAGATAGATAGATAGATAGATAGATACGAACAGACTGAGATAGATACGAACAGAGTGAGATAGATATGAAGAGATCTATATGAATAGATACGGATAGACTGAAATGAATGAAAGTGTAACAATAAAATGGTAAACATGAGGAAATTCGAAAAACGAAAGCAGGAAAACAGAGCAGATTAGATAGGAAAAGAAGGAGACAATTAAAGAGAATGCAAAAAACAAAGGTAATATATTTTATAGAGATACACTATGAAGAAGAGATAAATAAATTTTGAGAGACAGAATAGAAAGATAGTAATAAAGTGACGCAGAAAGTCATAAAGAGAATGTGCATATCTATATAAGAGAGAAGATATGATAAGGTGACATGTCTTTCAGCGAAACAACAAATTCCTTCAAGATGGCCGACATGTTAGAGACATTGATTTCAATACTTTTACACATGTCTCTAAATAAGTTTGCCATCTTACATTTGGAAAATTATGCTTACAGGTTATATTAATTTCTATTGCATTTAAAAATGTATTTCTTTCTTACTAACTTTTTTAAAATTTTAATTATATATTCTTATATTTGTTATTAAAATTGTTTACCACTTGTTTACCTTACTTCCATAATTTATTTTACTTTGTAATCGTTCTTTTTCTATCACCGTATTTATTTTCATCTGCATTTCCTTTCCTAATTTCTTTCTTTTTTCTTTCTTGCACTTTCTTAGTTTTTTATTTTCCTTAGTTTTCTTTCTTTCGTTCTTTCTGTCTTTGTGTCTCAGTGTCTCCGTTAGTACTTCTCTAAAAGAAAGAAATTTAAGAAAGTTAAGAAAATGAAAGTATTAGATTTCTTTTTTTCTTTCTTTCTTTCTTTCTTTCTTTCTACGTACTTATTTATTCTTTCTTTCTTTCTTTCTTTCTTTCTTTCTTTCTACGTACTTATTTGTTCTTTCTTTCTTTTTTCTTTCTTTCTTTCTACGTCCTTATTCTTTCTTTCTTTCTTTCTTTCTTTCTTTCTTTTCCGCTGAAAGAAAAGAAAGAAATCTATGGAAGTTAAGAAATAAGTTGAAATAAATATTTCTTTCATTTTCTTAACCTATCTATCTATATTTCTTTCTTTCTTTCTTTCTTTCTTTCTTTCTTTCTTTCTTTCTTTCTGTCAGTCATTCTTTCTTTCTTTCTTTCTTTCTTTCTTTCTTCTTTTCTTTCTTTCCTCTATTCTTGTTTTCTTTCTACTTTTCTTTCTTTCCTTTCTTTCTTCTTTTTTTCTTTCTTTCTGTCACCATGTCGCGCCCGCCTTCTTCATTTCCTTTTGGTCTACATTAGTGAGGTATCTGGCATATCTCAGTTGAATTTGATTCCCGGCGAATCACCTGCTCACAGTAACATTGACACTGACAGTTCGAACAATCTGTCAACAGTCGGGTCTTCCCCAGCTGTTTGTAAAGAAGAGGGAAACGTAGAGAGCACGCTGTCTTATATAGCACTGAATCTCACAATGGCGAACGAAATTAAATAACCCAATACAGAGAATGTTCAAAAGAAGAGAAACATGTTAAAAGTATAAAAGAAATATGAGAGGGAAGTCTGAAAAGTAAGGCACAAATATTTAATAATTCATCATGTTTAATAATTTACAAATAAAACATTGTTAGCAGAACTACAATGTTTCTTTACCACGTACTCACCATTGGTACTGTAAGTTTATGTATGTATGTATGTATGTAATGTAATGGAATATGCGTACACCTGTGTTCCCCCTCCCTGGAATATCATTGGCTGGTGTCCGTCATAAATGCCGACGGACGTGTAGGAGAGTCAAGAGCCTTAGTCTGAGAGCTAAGTCTATAACGACGCCAATTGAACTACGCCATTGATCTACACTTCTTACTTGCGACTACGACCCGTACCAGTCAATTACTGCAACTGTATTCTACTTGGTTATAGTAGCCAAAACCACTTAGCTACTTCGTTCAAATATATCCCTTTCCGGGACATATCAGTATGTATATATGTATGTATCTATGTATCTATGTATACGTATATGGGCCCGTGGCCAAGTGGTAAGAACGTTCGCATTTTGAACATGAGACCCGAATTCAAATCTCATCATGTACGAATTGTCAGGAAGGAGACTTCCTGATGTTATCGGACAAGCGGGGTCGATCCCAGCTTGCGGCACCTTTTGAAAGTGCCTGAAAATCATACCATGGGTCGAAAACCATGCCAAGCTTTGTGAGTAAAATTAGGTAGACGGAATTCTTTGGGGCTGTCAGTAGCTGTGCTAGCATGAAGTCAGAAGTCACCTGGCCTTGTTCAAATTGTTAATAACCCACTCTTTCTGTCTGCTCAGCATAGTTGCACTATAAATCACAGGTGGGCTCTGTGGGTATTGAATAATCACAAATGCGCCTGAGCAAGCGTCTGCAATATGGATTGGTTAGACGGTTATCCTCGAATATGAGTGGCCCGCTATACATACGCGTTTTTGTGTGTGTGTGTGTGTGTGTGTGTGTGTGTGACAGAGAAAGAGAGAGAGAGAGAGAGAGAGAGAGAGAATGAAAGATAGATATGTCCGATATTTATGGTATGTATAGCAGTTCAGAACACTTTTATTTTTTCTAACTATATTTCTTGGTTAATTCTTCACCTAAACGATGTAAAAGAAACTGCTAAAATCAATAAGAGCAAGGTACATACGTTTATTACAAATGAATATTATGCCACCGGCTAATGGTGTACTACACAGCAAATAAATGCTGAAAAACACGAAACATTTCTTGTACCTTTGACACCACATGAATTCGTGAAAATGCTACGTGAACAACGCCACAGAAGCGACAAATTGTCAACGCAGTTTACGCTTGACGCACATTCAAAACTTTTCCCCATTTTGGGTATGAATGTCGTCGTCATCAGCATCCACAACCTGCTGCTAGTGCCATCATCAGCATCCACAAAATGCTGCTTGTGTCATCATCAGGATCGACAAAATGTTATTGGTGTCATCATTAGGATCGATAAACTGCTACTGGTGTCATGATCAGGATCCACAAATTGCTGCTGATGTCATGATCAGGATCCACAAAATGCTGCTGGTGCCATCGTCAGGATCCATAAAATGCTGCTGGTGACATCATCAGAATCCCCAAACTGCTGCTGGTGTCATCATCAGGATCCATAAAATGCTGTTCGTGTCATCAGGATCCACAAAATGCTGCTGGTGTCATCATCAGGATCGATAAAATGCTGTTCGTGTCATCAGGATCCATAAAATGCTGGACGTATCATCATCAGAATCCACAAACTGCTGCTGGTGTCATCGTCAGGATCCATAGAATGCTGCTGTTGTCATCATCAGGATCGACAAAATGTTACTGGTGTCATAATTAGGATCGACAAACTGCTACTGGTGTCATCATCAGGATTCACAAAATGCTGCCGATGTCATCATCAGGATCCACAAACTGCTGCTGGTGTCATCATCAGGCTCAATAAACTGCTGCTGGTGCCATCATCAGCATCCACAAACTGCTGCCGGCGTCATAATCAGGATCCACAAAATACCAATGTCATGATAATATATCCCATGTTTGATTTCGCCGATTCTAGCATAAGCATCTCAGCCAGCTGAAACAATATGGCTTCCAGGCTGAATATATTGTACAATCATCTCTTTCAGATTTTTTGCATTTAACGATATAAAATGACAATTTACGTCATTTAAATTAAGCATAAATTTGACAGATTATTCTACGCCGCTTTTGTGAACGATTACGATTTTCTGTTTCACAATAGTTTGTTTTCTTTCGAAATTATCTTTTGCTATCCAATGCGACCTCGGATTTCGGTGTCACATTTTTCCTTCCCTGCACTTGATTGATTTTGGTATCTCCAATTCATTGTTGTCAGTTTTGGCCTTTCCTTTTCCTGGCAATTATATGTTATGTCTTATTACAATTGATGTTTAGTCCTGTCTTCTCGATTTCTTTTACTGCTACCTTCTTCAGAATGTCTTGCAATTTCCTTTCTGTGTCTACTATCAACATGATGCCATCTTCATATCTTATGGTGTTTATACTGTGTCCGACAATAATAAATCCTGATAGGACTTCTACGCTACATTACACTCTTTAATTTAGCGTGCAATGACAAAATGATAAAACTCCTCTTGTATTGTAATGTTAAAGCATAATATTTTATTATAATTCTACTTACCTCTCCCTTAGTTAGAACTAATGTTACACCCTGCTAATACCTCATAAATAATGCGTGGAAAGACAGAAAAAATCTTGTTAGAGACGCTGAGTTCAATGAGAAAAAAGAAAGAAAGAAGTAAGGAAAGGTAGAAGTGATTAACGACATTTTCAGTGAAATTGAAAAAGTTTCAATATCATATCTTTTCATTTGTACCCCCCTACTTCTTAAATTTACGAGCAGCATTCATATTTAGGATCCTTAATTCAATATTTTTTTTTAAGTTCAAACATTTAATGGTGCAATTTCTACGGATATTTTATTTTCGTATAACTCGCTATGAGCAAATTCTATTATTAACTTAAGAATTAATTTTTATTACAAAATTAAAATAGGTTTACCGCAAAATATGCTCGGGTATTTCTAGTAAGCTATAAACGACGCACAGCTCGACATTAAAAATCTCAAACTAAATACGGTTCAGGTTGTTTACATTTTGATATTGAATCAGCAGTAATTAATGAGTTCCATCTTATATCTCTTACAATACGTTCCAGTAATATATGCAAATAGCATTTCTTATATTGTTCTCTGGTTGGCAGCAGGTATGGTTACCATTTTGTAAAATAAAAGTTTGACATGCGTAAGGAACTGTGAAGTGTTTCTGCGCAGCAATAAGAAAACTGACAGGCATTTTAGTGGTATCGCTTCTATCCTACTGTTTTAAATTATATGCAACATGAATTTTAAAGAATTTTTGACCAAAGATGCGAAGGTGAAAACTTGTTGAAATGTCTTATGATGGAAAAGTAATGGATGACATTTATAGAAACCACTGCATAATCAAGAAATTCACCACGGACCTACCTGTATTCAGAGCATGTGTCGACAAAAGGAACAATCCTGGATGTTTGTTTCTTGACGAATGAAAACCAGTTTGAAGGCAGTGA